TAGTAGCAAAAACTGAGTCTTTTTGTAAGAAATAGTATATTTTAAAATGAAATGGAAATCTTTTTTAAAGGCTAAAAGCTCATTCAATTTTATGTCTCACAGGGCTTATATACTGAGTTCAATATTATATAACTATTAATTCAACTGTGAACTTAAAAATTTACAGCCACTTTTGAAAGAGATGCATCCTACCTCAGGAAAACGTTATTGAATATGTCAATTGTGTTGTAATGATATGCTTATTCTAAGTATGTTGTTATTAAATAAATCATTTTTAAAAATTAAAAAAAAATTCTAATAAAGGAACATGAAAAAAAAAGAATATTTCAGTATGTCAATTGTGAATGTGGTTAAGCACCCAGAAATATAAAGACAAGACCTAATAATTTATTTAAAACACCATTGTACCAATAGTGGTAGTTTTCACTGTAGGTCTCACATTTGTATCTACTTACCATCTGTCTGTCTATCTATCTGTCTATCTATCTATCATCTATCCACCTAGAATATCTATGTAGATAAATAGATATACCTAAAAATCCAATTTTTGTGGCCCTGTTATTCATTTATTCACTAACAGGTGCACAGATTTTTTGAAAGTTAGAGTCTAGATATTTATTTGCCAATTCAATACATTTATTTTATTAAGAATAAAACTATCAGTTATATTATTAATTAGTTGAGATGGGACTTTAGATTTTTAATAACTGGTAGTAGGTATTTATAAGCCTAAAGAAAAGATTTAACTCATAATTAGGTTTTAGCCATTTCACTTCTTATATGCAACTACTTTGCCCAAAGTGCTTGGAGTTTTGTTTGTTGCAGAAGGAAAAGACACTGTGCAGTGTCCAGTAAAGCATTCCAAACTGTAAGTGTAAGATTATACATTATATTTTTTGGTGCTTTGATATTGTTTGATAAAACTTTTCACGTTTTGCCTCACATTGTTCCAAAGGCTAAAGTATCTATAGCGTACACATTTCTTATCCGTGATATCCAGAAAATTTGTCGAGCACAGTAAACATAAAGTAAATATTTATCTTTCATAACTAACATATTAAGTAATTTTTTTATTCTTTCAATTATATAAGACACAGACTAATACACTTACCTTAGTAAGTACGAAATATGGTGTGGCTCATGGTCCAAATTGCTATGTTTCCAATCTAAAAACCTATATAACACACGGTCAAGATCCCCTGTGGTAGAAATTTTGTTCTTGTTTGACCAGATTTCAATGGAAGATATTAAAACAGTCAGTTTTAACTTGGAAAGCATCTAAAAGGAAAAGATAAATGAGAAATTTTTATAAATATGAACATGGCAATAAACAAAAACAAGTTGGACATGGTACTTTGGTTACAGAAAGTCTTCAAGAGCAAGCAGAATATACATCAATTCATATCACCTATATTTTTAAAATATACATAAACAAAATAGCTCTTTTAAACTTACAGTGTTAACAAGGCCAATGATCTGAATAACCTTCTGCGTTACAGCCTTTATGTCAGAGCCCATGTAGTCAAACTGAAATAGACACACTATTTTAAAATCTGGTGGATCTAAATTAACACAGTACATCCCTTTAAACATACAAAGTGCTATACTCTGAATAAGCAAAAAGAATCGAAACCCGAAAAAATGAGTAACGATAAGTAAATAATGACTTAAAAGTATTCAGTACCATGAATGTAAACATTACTTAATGCACTGGAGGCTGGGAGCAAGATGGTGGCTGTGCTGGTTTGGATGAGAATGTCTCCCATAGGCTCCAAGTATTTGGACATTTTGTCCCCAGATGATGGTGCTATTTTCAGAGGTCTTAGAAGGTGTGGCTATTCTGGAGGAAGCAGGTCCACTGGGGGTCGGGGGTGGTAAGAGAGTTCTTAAGCCTTGCCGGATCTCCAGTTGCTCTCATGTTTCCTGTGCCTGCTGGAAGATGCAGAGCATAGCTTCTGCTCCTCCAGCCACCTCTGCCGCCATGCCTCCCTGCCATGACGGACTGTAATTCCCCTGGAACCGTAAACTCAAATAAACTCTTCCTTCTATAAATTGCTTTGGTCAGTGTTTCTATCACAGCAACAGAAAAGGGACTAACACAGTGGCCAAGGGCTGGAGAGTTAAGGGCAGTTAAGAGAGCTCGCTACCGCTGGTTGTGGTGGCACACGCCTTTAGTCCCGGCACTCGGGAGGCAGAGGCAGGAGGATCTCTGTGAGTTCAAGGCCAGCCTGATCTACATAGTGAGTTCCAGGCCAGCTGGGGCTACAGGGAGACCCTGTCTCAAAAAGACCAAAAAAAAAAGCAAGTTTGCTGCTCTTCCAGAGGACCAAAGTTTGGCTTCTAACACCCACACCTGAAAATTCATAACTGCCTGTAATTCCAGCTCCAGGAAATCTGAGGCCACTGTGCTCAGAGGCACAAAAACACATATATACACATAACTAAAAATAAAAATCTTCTCTTAAAAAGATGGCAGCCATACTGTCTCAACAGAGGAACCATTCTCCAAGACTGTATACACAACCGCCCTCCTTCACAGAGGTGAGGAAGCATGTAAAGTACCATAATGCCTGGCTGAAATAGAGGAGTCCTAAGAAAAGAAATTAGAGGTAAAGACTCAAATGTGTTCTGAAAATTCAACACCTTTTCCAACAATTGCTAGAATACCTAGATAAAAATTCAAAAAAGGTTTGCACCCCCACCTCTGCTCTGTTAAGATCCTTGTGGGGATCTGCTCTGTTACGATCTTGTTTCTCTATCTCCCTGCACTCTGTGATCTTAGCTCTGCCAGGAACCCTGGACTCTCTGGGGGTCTCTCAGACCCACATTCGTATGCTCCCTTTCTCGTGCTCTTTGACCATCATCTCTACTCTGTTAGGACCGTGTGGACCCCAAGATCTGGGAGCTTTCCCAGACCTTCTTTGCCCTCAGACTTGCTCAGATTACTAGGATCATTGCACTCCAAGACCTGTAAACTCTCCAAGTTTGACCTATCAGTCAACCTATTCACCTAGCAACCACTCAGCCCACCCTGTTGGTCCAGAACCACAAGGAGTCAACCCTGGAACCTAAACTCAAAAGTTGTACCTCTCCTTAGCTTAGCAGAGACCAATTTTTACACCCCATTTTCACATGAACAAAAAGCGGCCTCCAAACTGAATACCAAGCACTACTCATCTGGGTCATGACCTGTCAAGTTGGAAAAGCTGAACACAGAGAAACGAGAACAATAAACACTCAACAAAGATAAATCACCTACCCATACCATGAAATACCAAAATGACACAAGTCCAGATGCCTAGGTCTTATTGAAAAAACACAAAAACCAGGAATAGCTGAGATGATAGGTCAACAACAGAAGTTAGCACCTCATTGTAATGTTTCCTGAGAACAGCAACCTAGTGGATGCACATGACATTGGTTTCAAAATAGCAATTATAAATATGTTACAGGAACTCAGAGAGGACGTGAATAAGATATGAAGGCCAAGAAAACACAAACCTTTGAATTGGAATAACTAAACAATTCAAAGCATGAAATTAGAATACAATAAAGAGTAAACGCTCCAAAGAAAAGCCAAACAGAAATTAAAAAGCCAGGAGCTCAAACAATAAAACATAGAGAAAAGAAGGCAAAAGGAAGTGGAGGGACTGGAACAGAACACAGCAGGTCTTGAAGACAAGTTTGAGGAAATGGCTCTCAGTTTAAAAAAAAGTCAAATCTATAATAACCCAGGAATGGAATATGCAAGATGTCTGGAAGATTGTGAAAAGGCTGAACCTATGATTCATAGCTATAAAAGAAAGAGAAGAAACCCAGGTTAAAGGCACAGAAAGTAGTTTTAATAAAATCAGAGAAGAAAATTTCCCAAATATAGGGCAAGAGATACCTATCCAAGTACAGAGGCATACAGACACTAAGTAGACAGGGCCAGACAAAGTAGCTCCCCATGACATAATAATCAAAATTCTAAATGTATGGAAAGAACAGATATTGGAAACTGTGAGAGAAAAAGCAAGTCACATATAAAGGCAAGGCCCATCAGAATAACAGCTGACTTTTCAATGGAGACTATGAGAGCCAGAATGTCTTAGACTAATGTTCTACAAGTCATGAAAGAACAGATTCCAACCTACCCTACAATACCTAGCAAAACTGTCAACTGATATTGAAGAAAGAAAAACTTCCCGTGATGAAAAACAAGTTTAAGGAATTTATGTTCACAAAACAAAGTCTATAGAGAATACACAATGGAATACTTCAGTCTGAAGACAAGATTAAATATTCACAAGGGCACAAAGAATGAATAAATTATCCCAGAATAGTCAACCAAAAGTGGTCTAAGGTAACAACATTACAACACCAACACACCAGGAATAATAAGCATTGACCAATAATAACCCTCAATATTAATGGTCTCAACTCCCCAGAAAAGAAACACAGAGTAATTGGATTATGAAACAACATCTATCAATTTGCTGCCTCCAAGAAACCTACCTCACCAACAGAAATTCCAATAGTATTTAGAAACAACTTGGCACCATCATAAACCTACAATGTATAATCAGCTCAGTGATAGCACAATGCACCTTTTAAGTATGCATGCACCACACACCAACAGGGACCATATCTTTGACCATAAAACATACTTCAACAAATTTAAAAGAATCCACATCACAGAGCATAGACTCTGACCACACAAAAACAAAATAAAAATATTGTTTTTAAAAAACGAGTAAGTGTTGGGGCTGGAGCTATGGCTCAGTGGTTAGGAACACTGGTTTTTCTTACAGAAGACCCAGGTTCGAATCCCAGCACCCACATGGTAGCTAACAACTGTCTGTAACTCCTTCCCATCCCAGGGGATCTGACAGCCTCTTCTGACCTCCGCAGGCATCGCACGACATGGGTGTACTTACCTACATGCAGGCAATACATGCATACACATAAAATAAAAGTAATAAATAAATAAATAGTTTTTTAAAAAAGGAGTACAATACTCAAACCCTCAGGAAGTAACTAGCGTAGATTCTCCATTTTCAGTTCTGTGCTCACACGTGCACACGTTGCATGTTGGTCACACCCCTCCTTATTACTCTCCATTTATCCCCTAGTTTACTTGTTTTCATATACACATGTACATGATTTCATGTATCTAAACAAAATCTAGAAACTATAAATGAGAGGAAGCACAATACTTGGCTTACTGAGATTGGCTTAATTTGCCTAATATGATTATCTTCAGTTGCCTCCAATTTTCTGAAAATGACACTTTTTCTTTTTTCAATGACTGAAAAGTAACGTTTTAAAATCTGTCCTCATCATCAACTAAAGCTTTTATATTTTATTTTTATTATGTGTGTATTTGGGTGGGGGGTGTGCACGTGAGTGCAGTACCCTCAGAGGCCAGAAGCGGGCATTAGATTCCTTGAAGATGCACTTACAGATGGTTATCTCACGTGGGTGCTGGGAACCAAACCCAGGTCTTCTGCAAGAGCAGTTCACATTCTTGACCACTGACCAATCTCTCCACTCCCCCATCCACTGACTTTATATCTATTTCTAACCTAAATAGCTCTTGTAGCTATTGCTATTTATTTTATCAAATGCCTTTTCAGCATCAGTGGAAAGGCTCATGGAACTTTTCCTATTCAATAAACTAAAACATTACACAGATTAGTTTTTAATGTTTTCCCACATTCCTTGGTGTTTATGTATGTGTGTACACATTTTTTTGTATTTGTGTGTGTATGTACATATTTTGTTTGTTAACCTTTTATTGAGTATCGGTGCATCTCTGTGAATGAGCAATACACATCTCTAATTTGTTCTATAAAACAAGCTATGAAAAGGTCAAATGTACCTATTATCTGGAAGAATTTGTATAAGGTTGGTACAGTTGCCTTTAAAATCTATAGAATTCCCCCAATGAAAGCATTAAAACCTGAAAGATATTGTTTTAGAAACTTTCATAAAACTACATGTAATTTAAAAATAGATCTTATAGTTATTTGCTATCCATTTTTACAAACAGCTATTTTTAAGAAAACTTCCTATTATTTCTAAATCCTCAATGTTTCCCCCCAAAGAAATGTTTGTCACATATCTTAATATTCATTTTTAATATTTTATTTATTATTTTTAGTGTATAAGTGTATTGCCTGCATGTAGGTAAGGTAAGTGCACCCATGTCGTGCAATGCCCGTGGAGGTCAGAAGAGGCCATCAGATCCCCTGGAACTGGAGTTACAGACAGTTGTTAGCTGCCACGTGGATGGTGGGATTTGAACCCAGGTCTTCTATAAGAACAACCAGTGTTCTTAACCGCTGAGCCATCTCTCCAGCCCCATGCCTTAATATTCTTTAGAATCTCTGTTGGATCTTTACTAATTTTGCCATTTGTATTTCCTATCTCTGGCCTTTCTTATATTTCTTGATTAGTCTCACCAGATTTATCAACCAGCAGGGCATGGTGGTACACACCTTGTAATTCCAGCACTTGGGAGGCAGAGGCAGAGTGATCTCTGA